CAGTGGTTTTGGTTTGATTATGTTATTGAATTAAATGTATTATTATTATATTATTTTTTATGATTATTTATTAAATTATAATTTATGATTTCGTGTTTTAAATTTTATCCTACCCGGGATGTTTACTAGACTCTTGTTCGGACAGATTTCAGTGAGTTATTCCTAAAAAATTACAGCCTACAATAAAAAAACAACATGTTTCCATGCAAAATAATGGTACCGCTTTCAGCACCAAAATAATCAGACCGCTAGGGAGGTTAGTGCACGAAGAGAGTGCGCCCTGTTTTGCTTTTGTTCATAAGTGACAGCAGAAACCAGACATTATGAAATTCTCATTACTGGCTTCTTATTAGCTAAAGGAAATCCACAAATGAATGTTCGTTTGTCTCCTTCCCCTCTACCGAGTCATCCCCACCATGCAGATTAGGGCCTGCAGGAGTAATAGCACAAACATGGTGGAGGGGTCATGATCTGGGGAATGATGTGGAAGCAATTCGGCAGTTGATGGCAATGTGTTGAAAACCCCCGCTGCCTCCAATGTGTGACGTACATCAGGCTGCAAAAGGACTTAAAGACATTGCACATATTTTGTTGACTGTATGGGTAAAGGGGTGCTGATTATGGATGGTGAAGGTATCCGCTTTGCGAATTGGGCATTTCCACCCTTCTCCTTACCCCTCATCTTCTCTCTCCTGTTCTCTGTCTCCTATCTACCTAAAACTTGTTACCCGGTGGAACCTTCCGATATTGTTATCTGTTACATTATGCCAGTTCTAATATTCTGTGGTTTATGTCTGCTTTGTGCTATTTTATCCGTCTTTTCAGAGCTGATGTGGAGACTGGCGGAATGTTAAGCATACATTTTCATCAGCTTATATTTTTATATCCCTGTTATACATAACTCATCCTCTGTTTCAGGACAGAGTGTTTTTGCAGTGTTGTGGGAGCGGAATGGGAGGGGTAAGTTCTAATCGCAGTATAGCTTCTATTTAAAGCAATGGTTAGTGAACATTTTTTAAAGGGGACCTAAACTAAAGAAAATGAAGATTTTGATATGGTATTGGGAGCATTTAGAAATGTTAAAGGATAAGTTCACCTTCGGTAACATATTATGTCATATCTCTGTATAGTAGGTCCGCGGACCGTGTTGTGTAGATCAATATTTCAATCATTATAGTGTATATTTGATAACGGGAGTTTCCCAGTCTCCGACAAAAGTGGTGGTGGCAGTAGAGGGTTAGTTGCGTAACTAACCCGACCCAGTAACAAGCGCATTCAGGCTGCAGGCACCGATTGTAATCCATTAGCTGGGCAATCGCTGTGTAGGGTGCAGCTGGGTGGGGCCTTGTTACGCGCGCGTCACACCGCGGTTTTTGGATCGGCCGGCCCTTCGGTCACGAGTTTGGTGAGAAGGTCTGGGGTCTGACGCCGCGGGCGTGACGTATTACTGTTAGTCGCGGCTGTGCGATTGTCGCCTGTTGGTGGCGGCGACCGCGGGTCGTGACACCGACCTCCTCCACTCTTCCTACAACTCCATCCCCCACAGCTATCTCCTCCTGTGCCACCATCCCCTCCCTCCTAGATTGTCAGCTCAAAAGAGCAGGGCCCTCGATCCCCTCATGTTTTGCATTGTATTGTTATTGTTCTGTCACATGTTCTGTCCCCCTTTGTAATGTACAGCGCTGAGCGAACTATTGGCACTTTATAAATACTGTATAATAATAATAATAATAATATTACATGTTACACCTGTATTTAGAGTGTAACAATAAAAAAAAAAACCCTGCCTGAGCCCCTCCATTCTCCCCTGATGTATCTTCTTCCTGCACCCGTTTTCTCAATTTCAAAAAAGAATGCTTCAGTGCGGGTCTCCACCCACACTGCCACGTCAGTCATTCACAGGGTTCTGCGAATGATTGATCCACAACTACCATCTGCCATTGCGGCACATGGCTTGTAGTTTTCAGTGAACTGCAAGGGCGCTGATGAGCACTCTCAAAATTTATTGATTTTGCTGCTCACCAGTAACTGTCTGACCACACGGGTGTGGAAATTTTTGGAAAAACCTACTTGTCCAGGGACTAAATTGGTGCCCCAATCTACTTGTCCCTCATAACACTTGTGCTGATAAAAAATAAATACATTTTAACCAAAACCGCATTTAAATCTGAAGTGCTTTAAGGAATGTCGGGGGCTTTTAAAAAGAAAAGGGGCTTTATGGTGACTTTTAAATGTTTAATATTTTTAAAATTGCACTGCTTATCTCCTCTTCACCTCCCTGCCTGTCTCAAGCACCGCATTTGGGGACTAGCAGGGAGGAGAGAGACCTTGCAATGTAATGAGCACCGTTTGGGTGCTCACCAGGAACATGGAGTGTCAGGCTTATCCTTTGTCCCTTTCGCTGCCAGAGCTCTTTTTGCGTTTTTGCACATTTAAAAAATCATTTAAGGCCTGAAGATTACACAAAACTCCCATTCATGATATATTTTCTGAAATCAGAGTACCTAGAGAATAAAATAGTGGTAGTTCCATTTTTTAATTTCACACAATTTTATCACAGAGGTCTAGGAAACGCAAAATTTCAGTAAAATACACTTGAGTTAATTTTAGGGCACAAAAAGCAATAAATTATCTATTTTTTTGTAAAAATATAACAGATCAGGTTGCATCGAGTAAATAGATATCCAACATATCAAACCTTAAATTTGCATGAAAAAGCAACAAAGTTTAGTACCCTATATTTTCTATAGGTGACACTTTTAAAGCCCCTTATAGGTCATCGGCTTAGCGTTACGGAGGAGGTCTAGGTGCTAGAATTATTGCTCTTATTCTGGCGAGCGTGGCAATATATAACATGCTTATCGCAATCATCGTTTCATGCGTAGGCGCCCCAGCGTGTGCTTTTACGTTTGTACGTGCATACATATGTGGGGGGTGGGGCTCGGAAAAAAAAATGGGGGGGGGGGGTTATGTGCTTTGGTGTAACTTTTAATTTAAAAAAAAAAATGAAAAAAAAAAGTTTTTTTACTTAACTTTTTTTTTTCTTTTTTTCTTGGCGACTTCTTTTTTTAAGGAGACATCCAGGGTCTTAAAGACCCTGCATGTCTCCCCTATACTACACTGAATATAATGCAGTGCACATCGCACTGCATTACATTAATTTCCGGCCTCGATGGCTGGGAAATTGGTCAAAGGGGACCTGGAAATGACATCACATCACTTCCAGGTGAGGACAAGAAGGGAAGGGGAGTGGATGTGTCCGTTCTCCTCCCTCCCCTATACCCTCTGAACTGGTCCCGTGCCCACAGATGGGCAATCGGAGCCTTGAAGACATAGTGGGCTGAGGGACAGAGGCTGGCACCATAGTGGGCTGTGTGGAAGCAATCAGGTGGCACTGGAGCCGCCAGAATGCTTGCACATGACAGATGAGCCCTGCTGCTTGCTTGCAGCTGAGCTAAAGGTTAAAAAAAAAAAACTACCTGACAGCGCCCGGAACCACATTTCCCAGGCGTCAGGTGATGTAAATTGAGCATCCCTGACCGATATCGGAGGTACAGGCAGTCGGCTATACTTAGATTGTGCAAGAGCCTGACATTGCACCCGTGATCTGCTAATCGTGGGTGCAATGCTCTGCAGGCTGCAGTAAAAAAAAGAAAAAAAAAAATCTCATTTTTTACCTGAAAAAATGTGTATGTTTATTTTTGAACCCAGCCTTGAAATTGGAAGAAAAGCCTAACACTACCTGTTCTCTCCTGCTACCTATCCTGCATACCTTTTGTAAAAAAAAAAGATCTTTGTGCTTTCCTTTTTTTAATCTGGTCCGGTCATGTGATCCGGCATCTCCCTGTGTAAGGCCATGACGTCACCCATAGGCATCCATGGCCCAGCCATTGTTAGTGGTCTCCTCTCCCCTGCAGCAGCTGCTAACTAACACAGGGAACCAGGAGCTACAGGATCACATGGCTTGGCTGGAGCAGATTAAAAATAGGTCAGTACACAGCTCTTTTTTACATAGGGAATGCAGAATAAGTTGGAGGAGGGGGAAGGGAAGGTTTTTAGGAATAGTTAGCGTTTAGACTTTTCTTCCACTTTACTTGTACCTAAGCAGTCCAGTGAAAACATTTGTCGTCCTGAAAAATAGCATTGGACTTCATGGTATGTGAGGGTGCCTAGGCACTCCTGGGCCTTCTGCCTCATTGCTGTATACAGTATGTGCAGTGTGAGATCCAAGCTATTACTGTTGCTAAGGCAGGCCGTACATTAACCAATTTTGTTTCCTTCAACCTAATGGTTAAAGTAATGAAAATTGCTCCATTCCCCATCAACATTGAATCCCTTTGTAAAGCTTTTGTAATCTGACAGTTTCCCAAGCATCAGAATGCAATGATCTATGCGACTATATCCGCCAGCAGTGATCAAACGGAAAAAAAAAAAAAAAGAAGACAGGCTGGTGGTATTAAATTCAATCGATAGATCAACTTCACTACCACCAGCCTGCTTACACATGGATCAAAATTCATCCAATTCCAGCTGAACTGGCTGAATTTTGATCCATCTATGGCGGCTTAAATGCTCAGGAAGTTTGGAGTGAGATATGATGATACTACTGTACTGCACTCTGTTCACTTTGCTGGAGGCTCTGGCATGAGCTGCAGCAAGCAAGGCTTGAAGACTGTTAGCATGCATTAAAAAGGATATCTACACAAGATATTAAATTGTAACTCTACCACTTTACAGAACTTTAGTTCGACCATATCTTGAGTATGCTGTCCAGTTCTGGTCACTAGTCCTCAGGAAGGATGTGCTGGAACTGGAGAGGGTCCAGAGAAGGGCAACAAAGCTAATAAGGAGGCTGGAGGACCTGAGTTATGAGGAATGATTACATACGTTACTCTCCCTGGAGAAGAGAAGCCTAAGAGGAGATATGATAGTGATAAACAAATACTTGAATGATGATTCTAGCATAAGGGGAAAACTGTTCAGTCTTAGGCCTCTTAAGAAGACACGTGCCACTCATTGACGTTAGACAAAATGCTGTTCTACCTTAAAGTGTTACTAAACCAGGACCCCGCATTCACTATATCTGGTCTCCCCAGACCCTGCATTCACTATATCTGGTCATCCAAGGACCCTGCATTCACTATATCTGGTCTCCCTGGACCCTGCATTCACTATATCTGCATCCCCAGACCCTGCATTCACTATATCCAGTCTCCCTGGACCCTGCATTCACTATATTTGGTCTCCTCGGACCCTGCATTCACTATATCTGGTCTCCAGGACCCTGCATTCACTATATCTGGTCTCCCAGGACCCTGCATTCACTATATCTGGTCTTCCCAGACCCTGCATTCACTATATCTGGTCTCCCAGGACCCTGCATTCACTATATCTGGTCTCCCAGGACCCTGCATTCACTATATCTGGTCTCCCAGGACCCTGCATTCACTATATCTGGTCTCCCTGGACCCCGCATTCACTATATCTGGTCTCCCAGGCATCACTATATCTGGTCTCCCTGGACCCCGCATTCACTATATCTGGTCTCCTCCCCGGACCCTGCATTCACTATATCAGGTCTCCCTGGACCCTGCATTCATATATCTGGTCTCCCAGGACCCCAATCATTCACTATATCTGGTCTCCCCGGACCCTGGACCCCACATTCACTATATCTGGTCTCCTAGGACCCTGCATTCACTATATCTGGTCTTCCACAGAACATAGAAATGCAATTACTTTAGTAAGTATAAACCTCTAAATACCTTTTCTCATCAGCAGTTAGAACAGTCTTGTGACTTCTATCAGTGTTCAGTTGACCATTGGTTAAAGCTTGTAGGAGGAGTTTTCATTCTACTCTCACTGCCCTATGAGATTGCATAACCCCTGACCCTCTGGACAGTGCTGATTGGCCCTGTGCTGTCCAAGAAAAAGAAAACACTCTAGCAGTAAACACCAAAGTGAGCATGTGCAGAGGGTCCCTGAGGCTCTGTTCTATCAGGAAATGAAAATTGGAACGTGGAAGAAGAGGAGGATCAGAGAAGTCAGGATCAAACTTTCTTTTTACACAACAGAGGATTAACCCCTTAATTTCTACAGTGTAGAATTTCTACAGTTTCTAGAGTGTAACAAGCATGCTTTACTGCATATACAGACTGATTTTACTGTTGTAGGTTTAGTAACACTGTAAACTGCATAAGGGATTTTTTACTGTCAGAGCAGCAAGGATGTGGAACTCCCTTCCAGTTGGTGGTTTCAGCAGGGAGTGTTGATAATTTCAAAAAACCCTTTAGATGGGCATGTTGGTGAATGCAATATAAAGGGAAATGGTAATGACATACACACGTTGAACTGGATGGGCTGGTGTCTTTATTCACCTTCACCAACTTTGTACCTATATAACACGAGGAAGCAAAGCTCTACCTCTACCAGTATGGCCGCCACCACAAAGGGGCACAGTACAGAACAAGGCAGGGTAAGTCAGTGTTGGGGGAAAGATCGGCTGCAGGGAGACCACAGACAGCACTGGTGACTATTATTATTATCCACTCATCCACTCCATCATATCACGACTCGACTACTGCAACTCCCTCCTCACTGGCCTGCCTCGTCGCTGGCTATCCCCGCTTCAGTCGATCCTGAATACGGCTGCCAGACTCATTCACCTTTCCAACCGCTCCTTTCCCCGCCACCCCCCTCTGCCAATCCCTCCACTGGCTTCCGATTGCGCAACGGATCAAATTCAGAATCCTAACACTGACATACAAAGCTGTCCATCATACTGCCCCGAACTACATCACTGACCTAATATCCAAGTACCGCCCAGCACGCACACTCCGCTCCTCACAAGACCCCTTCTCTCTAGTTCCCTGGTCTCCTCCTCCCATGCCCGCCTCCAGGACTTCTCCAGGGTTTCACCCATCCTCTGGAACTCCCTGCCCCAACCCATCAGATTATCACCTACTCTCCTCTCCTTTAGGCGCACCCTGAAAACCTATCTCTTCAGGGAAGCCTACCCTACCCCCAGCTAACTTGCCAATCTCCTCCACTCTTCCTACCACTCCATCCCCCACAGCTATCTCCTCCTGTGCCACCATCCCCTCCCTCCTAGATTGTAAGCTCCAAAGAGCAGGGCCCTCAATCCCCTCATGTTTTGCATTGTATTGGTATTGTTCTGTCACATGTTCTGTCCCCCTTTGTAATGTACAGCGCTGAGCGAACTATTGGCGCTTTATAAATACTGTATAATAATAATTATTATACAGTATTTATATAGCGCCAGAAGGTTTGCTCAGCGCTGTACATTATAGTGGGGGACAGTACATGAGACAATACAGTAACAAAACAATACACGAGGGGTTCAAGGGCCCTGCTCTTTCGAGCTTACAATCTAGGAGGGAGCTCCTAGGGTGACTAGTACTTTGCCCTCACCCTGCCTTTTGTTGTTGGCATGGCTTTCAGAGCTCAGTTCTTTTTAAATAGATACATGCTTACTTCTTTGTTTTGTTGTATATTGCTTGCTGTTTTCTGGCCATTGAAAAGAACCAGGACCCATATTATGAGTGTTCTTTTAAAATAAATTAACATTTTCCACTTGTTATAACAATAAGTTACAACCATTATAACTCTCTTATTAGAATGAATTGCTCATTTGTACAATATATTAAAAGACTCTGTACTCGCTGCGGGATGTGGTGACCAGGCAGAAAAGCCTAAAATTCTAATAAGTTTATAAGAGCGCTGCAGGGCACTTTCATCTTTTATTTAATTGATTTATATTATGCTGCAGGTTAACTTAAGCTTTAATCGCCTCACATGCTGATTGAATGAAATTTTACAGTTGCTTTTTTGGAGAGCAGTGAAAAACAGAGGTCCTTAGTCTTTGTTAGCTTGTCACAAACAATCCGAGAAGCTCAAGGAAACAAAAGAACTCCTTTCTTGTAGTCGCAGTGGCCAACACATTAAAATATTTTCTTATTGTTTTTAGTCAAGTTGCTTTGCTATAGATACCCTTTTACCCAAAAAAATCAAAGGTTAGGTCAGCAGAGGCACCCGTTGTCGAAGAAGTCAAAAAGTATGTATTTATTGATCAGATATTGGTAAAATACACCATCAACGCATTTCATGGCTTCTAAGTGACCCACGGCATGTTTATTTTACCAATATGTGACCAATAAATGCATACTTTTTTGGCATGAACACTCTTGATGCTCTTTTTTTTTTTTTTTTTTTTTTGCACAATTGGCATCTCTGCTCACCTCACTCATTCATTTTGGGGCAAATCATATTGCCTAATTTACACACCAGGATCTAAACTCTGCATAGCGAAGAATCATCCAGGACTCCCTGATAAGCATTGAACATGACCACCCATCAGTCTCAGCATGGTAGCAGACATATTCTCCACCAGCTCTCCAGTAGGTTGCCTGAACGCCAAATGGGCTTTGTGCAACCCTTCAGATGACCCTATGTGTCACAAGTTAGCTTGCAGCCTCTTGTGTGTTTACACTTACAGTACTCCATGCTGCCCTTGATTCCTTCACATGTGTGTTGTTCTGTGCTCACCTATGGGTGTCATCTGCTATTCCCTGGGTTTTATGTCCTTCCCTTCCATCACTTCCTGTCCCACCTCCTAGATGGCTTGCCTGTCTATTTAAGATGTGCTCAGACTGGGCCACATTGCCTGAGCAACGGTTGTTGTTGTTGGAGCTCCCCTATGGTCTACTGAGAATCCGTTTAGTAGTATATCTGTGTACCTAGACCCCGGCTTCATCCCTGACATTCCTCCTATATTGTCTACCCGTGTACCGTCCCCGCTTCGTTCCTGACATTGCTAGTTTTCTGCCTGTACTGACCTTGGATTGCCTACTGGATCTCCTGCCTCTACTCCCATTGTACCCTGCTCCCGCTAGTGGTCTCTTCTACCTCAGCTGGGTGTACCTGGGGGCTGCGACCTGGTTCCAGCCTGCTCCAAGTCCATCCCCACCATCAGGGGCCCTGGTGAACAAGCAGGCTGGGGCTTAGACTCCGTGCCCTGGGGAACCACAAGCTGTGGTTTGATAGAGCTCACTATCATAGGTGCTGACACTATGCTTTTAATAATTTATTTTAAAATTGTTTACTTTGTGATATCCACTTACTCCTAATGGATTTCTCCTTGGTCTTTTTATTTTATTTCTTTATCTCCTGATTATGTAAGGAAATGTCACTTTTCTAAAGTCAGCCAAAGATGAAATGAATATCGGCCGGGTTCAAGGACCGGCCGAGGTTTTGATCCATCTATGGGCAGGCTGATTGTACCCAAGTAGATCCATCCACCTTGAAATTGTCTCAACCCTGTCTTTGCTGCTTAGCCCGCCTCATAAGCACCAAATGGATGAAACAGCTGAGCTGCAAGTGGCGGTGTGTTTAAAGTGAACTTTAAGGGCAATTAATCTGAGTTAATGTGTTGCACTAAGGCAGCTTATTGAAAAAAAAATGGGCTGCCAACACACTAAAATGTCCCAAAAAACAGACATGTCATACACTTTTTAATGCACTGTGCTGCATTGAATGTGCATTGTCCAAGTATGTTGGGGAGCCATTCATAATGAATGGCACCAAAACAGAACAACGTGTAATGGTCCGTGTTTTTTTTTTTTTTTTTTTTGTATTTTTCTTTTTAATCATTTTTGTTGAAAACATTTAGCATATTACATGAGTTACACACAATGAACGAACATAAAAAAGAACAAAAAGAAACAACAGTGGTTCACATACATTATACCCTTGCAGGGGCAGAGTAATGTAGAGCTTCACATCCAGCAAAACCTACAAATGAAAAGGTTGCATAGAAAATCTGAAAAGCTATCCGAGATGCCTAGATGGTCACCGCTATTACCTGAGTGGTATACGAGGGAATGTAGAATGTCCAATCGTAATATAAAGTTGTGTAATGTATGCCGTGCTTGGGATCCCAGGAGAGTATACGGGGATGCCTCAGAGATACAATAAGCTACTCGGGTTGTCGGAATGTTAGAGGTAGTGGAAGGTTCTGCTAACCATTTGGACCATACTCTGTCATATTTTTTGGGGCAGCCTCTGTGGAGCAACACAATAGTTTAAATGGGCCATTAAAGTGAGCTTGTGCCTAGCTAAATGTATCTGTAACAGATATTTTCTTGAGAATTGTCAGCATTACCATGGATCTGAGAGGGGACTCCTAATGACCCCTTTCTCCTTAAAGCCCCACTCCGGGGCAAAAAATAAAATTCCCATGCAGTTGGGCTTTTTGTTGCACTGCACGATCAACTGCTCGTTTTGTCTAGGGGTGAGCAGAAAGCTTATACTCGCCTGATCCTTCGATTCTCCAGGAAATGGCGCTCCCGCATGGTCCAGTGGTGGACTGTTCCTGGTCTGTGG